CTTGAGATGGGATGGAGATGATAAAGGGGGGATGTATTTTGCAGTGGGGAGAGGCCCCCCTGTAGGAGGAACAAGTGAGGAAGTGTGTCCTATACCCTAGGACTCTCAAAGGGCTAACCTGACCTACAGTTGGTTTTCAAAGAGAAAGGGAGGTCAGACGCAAGCCCTGAGCAGGAATATAACTGTTCCAACGAGACTCCTTCCCCTAATTAACAGTAACAGCCATCATGAACTTGGAATATTACAGACTCCACTGAGTATGAGTAAAGAACTGGTGGGGAGGAACATGAATTCTGAACAACTCCCTCCCCGTGCCTGTGCAGACACCAACAAAATGCCAGTCTGAGGGGTGCAGCACAGCGCTAGGACAATGAGGGTCTGCCCAAAGGCTTCACCTTCGGCTAAAAATGCAGACAGGTGAGCCAGGCAGGGCAGTGATGGTGAAAAATAATAGCTGGTTACCCCCAGTGGGGACTACAAGCCAGCCCAGGTGGCTAGGCCCTGCAGAGCCAGGAGCTGGAGCACCGACCCATCATCTCCCCACTCTGCCCCACCTCTCCTGTTCCTGGGGCCTGTAGAAGGACAAGCTGTTCCCACTGAGCCCTGCCAGGCTGCGCTTTAACCCCTACAATCCTTCCTAATCCTCCTCCGCTCCACCCCTCCAGCTGCTCCTTGCCAGCCCTGGCATTCTGCCTGCTGGCATCAGCCCTACACTCACCCCTCCCAGACTCCCCCTCTCTCCCCAAGAAGAGCCAGGGGTTGGCCCAGGGCCTTCCTGAGCACAGTCAGCAGGCTGGGCACCTGCTCCTCAACAGAGAGTCAGAGACCAAGGCTCGGAGTCTGACCCAGCCAATTCTCCTGCACACCCTTGTTCTCAGCTTAGAGTACTGTTCCTACAAGCGATGGAACCTGAGTACCTGGGTCCTATTTGCCCCTGGGGCTGCTGACTCATCTTCTGAGGCCTTGGGTTCCAGCTGTTCAATGACAGGGAGATTATATAAACTGAGGTCATGTGATTTTCCTCTCAGGTGGGACTTTGGACTTGAATGCTGCCCTGCAGCAAGTGGTGGTTCTCCATGGAGAGCAGCTGAGGATGGCAGGGCTGCCCAAGAGCTCCTAGGTGAGAGAGAAGCTGACCTTCCTCTCTCATCCCTTACTCCTGTTGACTTGGCCACATTGGACTGCATCCCTGCTGGCTTGTCCAGCTTGGCAGCTTGAGACCCTGGGGCCCATCCTCACCCCAGGCTCACTCAGCTACCCTGAGGAGATCAGAATTCCAGAGGACTTGAATCTGTGCTGCCAGCACAGGAAGGTCACTCAGGGAAAGCATTAATGGAGAGTTCTCACAGCCAGGGAGGGCCAGTACTAGCTGCTGAGAAGGAAAGGACAGCTAGTTTGTGGTTTGATTAGAATCAGCAAGATGCTGATGTCTCCATTCCTTGAAGACTGGCTGTGGGCTGTGACCTGGTTGGTGGCCTTAGCACTGCCAAACCCAGGTTTGATTTCTCAATCAGTGACCAGAACCATCCATCCTCCCTGCCTTTTCCTCTGCCCCTACCCCACGACATCTTCAGGAGTTAATGTGGTGCTGGGGTGGGGCTCAGCAATGCAGAAGTTAATCCAAGCCTGGCAAAATGTTCCCTGCCCCTGGGGGAGCCGCTCCACTGACCATCGGCTTTAGAAATAAACATCATGTTCAAAGCCCAGAGCTGCACACTTGGCTCTTTGCCTGCCCCCCTTACCTCAATGGATAAGTAAAACTGGCACCCTGGACAGAGGTATAAGCAAGAGAAGGAAGTATGTGGGCTTCTGGAATCCAGCTGGTTCAGGCCAGACTGCCTGGGGCTTAAAAGAGTACAGAGAATTATCTTGGCCTCTTGTGTGTGTGGAGGGGGGGATCCAAGTCATACAGGGACACAGAACTTCCTCCAGCTAGTGAGGGAAGCAGACTGACCCTCCTCCCAAGGCACACTGTGGACTACAAGCTCAACCCCTAACAAGGATTCGGAGCCTCTACCTTTTCATCTCTCAGTCAATCAGACCACCAGTCTATCCATTTACTATAGCAACTGTAGGTACTTGCTAGGAACCAGGCCACTGGCCTTGAGACATATGCCTAAGCCCAAGCAATGTCACCAAACTCTGGACCAATATTCAGATCTGAAAGAGGACAATCTTAGGTCCTGGCCTCACAGAGCTAATTCAGAGTTTAATGTATTCATACTCCATCTCTTGCCAGGAAGGATGTGAGGTGAAGAACATGACATCCTACATGGGAAGCAGGCAAGCCCAAGTTTTGAGAAATGGGAGTATTGGGCTTCAGGAATGAGCCCAGCTCAGATTATCTTGATATACCTAAGCATAGAAAGTCACAGAGCCTAGGCCACACTCAGATCCCAAAAGATGATCTCCTTTGTGCAAAGCCCACTTCAAGAAATGGCACTAGGGAAAAAGGGTCTCCCAGGGACTGGGCTAGTTGAGAAACAAGCTGTAATTTTTTGTTGGCTGTGTCTGGGAGCAGCCAGACCTTCTGGATAAGACTGAATCCTGTGTGAAGTCTTTCTACTCACCCCAGACTTCTCAAAGCACTCGCACACTAGAGCTTTCCCCATCTGGCCCACCCTGCTCCCAGCGAGCTGCTCCCTGCAAGCTGCTCCCTGCCAATCTCCTGCATCCCAGGAACGATTGAGAATGTTCATGGCAGAATGCCAAGCTGTCCTGGGGCAGGAGTGCTCACGTCACTGGCTCTAAGTATGGGGACACAGGCCAAATGCTGCAGTAGGTGAACACTCTTGGGCAGTGCCCCCCCACCCACAGCACACTTGCTCAACATGCAGAACCAGACTCACACCCCACCCTCTGAGGCTCAGTGGGACTTGCAGGATTCCCAGCAGAGCCTGGTCTGACTGTCTTCATTAAGACCTCATTAAGAGAATCCACAACCCTGCCCTTGAGGAGGCTTCAGCATGCTGGCACAACCAAGACAAACCACACACAATCTAAGACCATTTACGAAAGTTTTAGAGACACTTATAAAACAAAAATAAACACATTAAGATGAATTAATAGCATGCAAACTGAATGCTAGTAGTAGACTGAGGATATGCAGTAATGGGGTGTTTAGAACTGGGTGGAGTTAATTAGAGAAGACTGTGGAAGATATGAGTTTTGAGCAGAATTTCCAAGTAAGTAATTGGCAGAGAGCAGAAAGGGCATCCCAGAATTTCTTAGCAATTGTTAAAAGTGTGAGTTATTAGACAGGTCTGGGCTCAAAATTCCACAGTGTCATCATTTATTAGCCTTCGGATCCTGGCAAGTCATTTGACCTCTATGGGCTTCATCTGTAATATAGAGATAATAGTTACTACTTCATCATGTAATTATGGAAATTAACTTGGATAATATATATAAAGCCCTTAGAATAGTGTCTGACATTTAATAAGGACTTAATCAGTGGCAGGTCTGTTGTTGTTTGGCAGTTTTCTTTTTAAGCAGAGAATAAGAGCAGTTCAGTTGGTGGTAGGGAGCAGAAAAGCAGGAGAATGGTGACAGTGGAGGGAGGCCATGGAGAATGGCCTTAGGCATTACCTGAGTCTTCCCGACTGGATGTAAGACACTGTAGTTGTTTCAGAGAAGACACAATGCTACTGAATTCAAGCTTTGTGCAGACAATACAGGACCTGCTCTAAAGGGTGTAGCTGGAGAGAAGGAAGCTTGGAGGAAAAAAGGCTGTTGCCGTGTCCAGGTTAGGTCAGAGTCTGGAGATCACACTCCAGACAAGACTGCCCTCAAGGATCACAGAGCACAGCAGCCTGCGGTTCCTGTCACCTGCCCCCTCCTGCTGTCACCAGTACTAGAAGAGGTCATGGTGATGATACTCTCCCTCCCATTATCACTAAATTGCTGTTTTGTGGGTGGCCTAGCCCACACATGTGTCCCGGGCCCAATCTCCATGTGTCTGTGGTCATGTGTGCAATGCTCGTGTACATGTGGGGATGAGCACGCCAGGAGGAACAGAAGGAGCCCACAGATGAGTAACAGCACACACTGCTGCCTCTCACAGTATTTTTAAACGCTAAAGATACTGGCTAAAAATAGCCAGCAAGCTCCAAACAAGATACTTTCTCTAGGCTGATTCGTGCACTTCCCTGTTTTAGGTGAGGGGGCGGAGCATAAAAAAACCCGCCCCTCAAGACCCCCTGGTTCTTCCAAGTACTGCTGCACTTGGGGTCAGAGCAGAATGCTCACCCCAACACCAGCTGAGCCCTGATCTCCCCACCTCCCACAAACGACTCAAATTTGAGATTCTCAAAAGAGATGGAGTTGAGTAATTGGGTACCCAAAAAAAGGTTCTTTCCTGGGGCCAAAAGGGCCGGTGACCTATTGTACCTTATAAAACCAGTACTGCCTCTCTTGATGATGGGCCAAACTAAGCTTGGAGGATGGAAACTCAGTGCCAAGGCCGTGGAAATCTTTCTTCTTTACCTGGGCCCATCCACCCACACAGATTGAGGGTCTTCTTTACCTGGGTCCCCCTGAATGCTGAACACAAGTTTATGCCATCTATGAATTTTGCCCTGAAAATAGTAGGGAGCTCTCGTGAGGGTCCTCGAAATGATCTGCGGCACCCAAAAGTTCGGGGTTCTATGCTGCCTGGGCGGAAGCTCACCCGCGTGACGCTGGGTCTTGAGGAGGCGTCCTCTGCGGCCCCCAACGACAACTTGTTCTGAGTTGGGGCTGCGTGTTTCGATTTCGCCCCTCCGGGGGACCTACCGCCCTTTGCTGCTGGCGGACCCGGACGGGCCGGGTCGGGCCGGGAGTCACCTAGCTGCCCGGCGCGGAGCAGGACCGGCGAGCGGCAGGGGGCAGGCCCTGCGGCCTCGCTGGTGTCCGCGTGCCGGGGATGGGCGGGGCTTCGGGTCTGGCTCCGCCCTGGCGCTGACGTCGCGGGGCCCGAGGCGCCGGCCCGGCTGGCAGTCCGCGGGAGCGCGAGAGCCGAGCCGGGGCGGTTGGCGGCGCGCGGTGGGGAGGTTGAGGTGGAGGGGCGCGCGGTCCGCCCCGCGGTAACGGTTACCGCCGGGCGCCGCGGACCGTGTCCTGTGGCAGCCTTGCCGGCCTTGCTGTGCCGGCTGTGGCACCGCGCGGGGACTCCCCGTGCCCCCTTGACCAACGTTAGACGTGGGGCCGAGCCCGCCGCCCGCCCCCCAGCATGCGCACCTCGTACACGGTGACCCTGCCCGAGGAGCCCCCGGCCGCCCCCTTTCCCGCCCTCGCCAAGGAGCTGAGGCCGCGCTCCCCTCTCTCCCCGTCCCTGCTGCTCTCCACCTTCGTGGGGCTTCTGCTCAACAAAGCCAAGGTACGCGGGCCCCTTTCCGGGACCCCCCACGCCAAGGGTCTGGGGTCCCGCCTCCTCCCCAGGATGTCCCCGGACCGCCACGCGCCCCTCAGCGGGGGGGACGGATTCTTCCCAGCCCCCACCCCTCCTTTCCCATGGTCTCCCAGTAAGGAATGCCCCCTCCCCAGGTGATCACACTCTTACTCGCGGCCCCCTCCCCTTGTCCAGGTCCCAACCTCCGAGTCCCCCTTACCCTCCCTGTCGGTGACCTGGGCACCAGGTGGCTCTCGGTCTCTTAATTCCGGGCACCTATCAGGACAGGTGCAGGAAAGCGTAACCTTGACTAGGGCTGGTGTGTGAGGGAACCGGCAGGACGCTGGACTCTGCCGGGTGACTCCTCCCAGGCCAGACCCCAGCAAGGAAGGCTGGTCGAAGGGGCCGCCTCCCACTCTGTTCCCAAAGGGCTCTCGCCCAGGGGTTGGTGACGGGGTCCTTTGACCCCGTGAAGGGCAGAGGAGTTGCAGACAGGTAAAAGGGGGCAACTTCCTTTCTCTTGCAGGCCCTCCAGGTGTGGGAAGTAGGCAGGGGATCCCTCAATCGAAGCAGCTGCCCTGAGTAATGCTGGGACTGAGGCTGGGCACCGTCCCCTTGGGGAAGGGAGAAGGGGCCTGAGCTTGACAGGTCTTATGTAACAGGCAGCAGCTCCCGTGTTGGCAGTGCGTGTCCTGCCCCGTGCCAGGGCCACACTGGGCTCCTTGGCTGCAGCCAGGACTCATGGCTGACCCTCCCTGCGCAGGTAAAAAGCGTCTCCAATATGAAGACTGGGGTCTCCAGTATGAAGACAAAAACCTCAGTAGGCCCCATACCCAAGATGACACCTCTGCATTAGCCCAGGGGACAACTCTTTGAGCCCTGGCTCCTGCCCTGGGAAAGGAGTGCTATTTACCAACTCTAGAGGTGGCATCTGCTCTCTAGAACAGAGCTTGCTACAGAGTCAAAACTAGGTTTGTTGATGGCTTAGTATAAGGGAGCACAGGGTCCAAACTTTCTCAACTCTTTGCACATGAGTCTCAGCATAACAGCTTTCCTTCTGCTTTCCCTGTAAAAGGCTGCCTCTGCAGGGTCTCTATCCCACCTCCTCAAGTTCTAGCCTCTCTCTGCCTGCCAGGCTGAGGTAGGATTGTTTGCCCTGTAAGAAAGGTCACTCCTGGAACATTTTGTTCCTCTCTGGAATGGAAAGTGCTGACTTTCCCTAGAGCTCCTGATTTCCTATTCATGGCAGAAGAATATCTGGCTGGGCATAGAGCAGCCCTGATCTCCCCTAGTCTCTTACCCCTGACTGCTACCCCCCACATTCCACACAGAGTGCTCAGAAATTGGCATGCAGTTTTAAACTCAGGAAATTTTAGACAAAAGCACAACTCCCCATCCTAAAAAAGAAAAATTAAAATTAGCAGAGGGGTCTAGTGATGCCTTAAAGGATCCTCTCTCCTTTCCCCACCCCAAGACCAACAGAAGTATTAGATCCTTAGGAATAGTAACCATGAGAGATGAAACACCCTCCTTTACCTCCCACTGCTGGGTCAGAGTGAAAACAGGAGTGCCTCTGTAGGCAGATGACTCTGGTGTCCCTTTCCCCACCCCCACTAGTGCTTGGTGTGATATTGTCTCAGCTGAGGGCCTGCTTTGGTGTATATGGACATGGTCACCAGTGGTAGAATGCTTTGCATATACAGCCTGTTTAGACAGATGTCGTCTGAGGCACAGAGGATAAGAGCTAATAAAGCACTGCCAAAAATAGGTGTAAGAGTGGGCATTCTGTGTGGGCACACTTAACATTTAAGTATGGTTCCAAATGGGCAACATGGAGACTTCTGTAGCCTTTTTTGTTGTTGTTGTTGTTGTTGTTGGGCCCCCTGGGAATCTTTCATCAATTCTGCCTGAAAATGCTAATAAGATCTCTGTCCTGGGGAATCATCTCTGGTGACCCTTTTCCTGGAACATTGGGGTTTAGACTGTCAGTGAGGTAAAATTCAGATTTTGTTTGTGGCTGCATCCTGCCATCCCCAGCAAGCAGGATGCTCACACCCCACCTGCTGCCAGTAGGCGTTCTTTCCAGCCCCAGTTTTAAATCAGGTCTCTCTTCTGGGTGTATTTTCTCCCTTACCTGTTAGGATTTGACCTGACAACTGGCCAGGGAAGGGATCCTCTTATGGGATGGGCAAGGCAGTTCTTGAGAAAAGCCCTCCTTCAACCTGCTCCTCCCCACCGCCACCCCCAACTGACAATCTCATGGGCTTTGAGCTGCTGACAGCCTATGAGGCTGTCAGCACATGGCATGAGTAATTTTAGCTGAGTTATTTCAGGCTCCTGTTCTGATCAGGGTTGAGCTGGCCCCACGCATGCCCCAGCCAGTGTTGCTCCAGAGTTGCCTGCTCCCAGGTGCCCTTCCTGAAAGAGGGAGCGGCAGACTCACCTGCAAACTGTTTCTTTAACCCTTTGGGCTAAAGGTCTTCTGATTCCTTTGGAGGTATGCCCAGGATTAGCCAAGATCCCTTGACAAACAATGCTCAGAGTCCGCAATCTAGCACCTGCTCTCTCTCCAGCCCCCTCACCAACCTCCACAATAGAGACAAGAGCAAGAGTGGCACCTTCAGCCAGGTGCTCACCTCGGCTTGGCTGCAGTATGCCATAAGAAGGATTCTCAAGTCAGTGGCCAGTCAGGATGTTGAAACCGGAACCAGGCAGGGAGGATTCTCCCAGCCTTTCATCAGCCCTTAGGAGCTGAGCTCAGCTGGAAGGAATTCCACCTGTCTCTGGCAATTCAGAATGGTAGACGACTTGAGTTTTTCCCAGCTGAATATCGAAACTTAATTGGGTGTTTTGTCATTTAACTTTTCATAAGCTCCTTGAAGTGCCTGTTAGGATAGCTGCTTTCTATATTGGACATCTAGTCTAAATGTAGGTCATTTGAGACAGGCCTGGATTTGGGACTTAAATACTCTAATATATGAATTCCTAGTCTGTAGTTCTAATCTCCAGTCACTACTGTAGAAGAGAATTTACAATAACATAAAGATGGGGAATATGTAGTGCATACAAGAAAGAAAACCCCTGAAGAACATTTTTTGTTGTGTGTTGAAATTAATAAGCCTTCTTCATGGAAGGTGAGGAATCCTGCATGGACATGGCCCTGCTTCCTCACTTGATGCTTTTTCCATTCTACTCGAATAGTGCAAATAGTTGTGTTTTCTTCAGCCCTCTTTCCTCCAAGGTACAGGGACTAAGGTTGAAAAGAAAACAGGTGTGGCCTGCTGCTATGGCTCCAGCTGGCAGACAGTTGCATGAGAGAGCCCAGCAGAGGGCCAGCCATTTTGCCTCATTCTTACATATTTTGTGTTCTTTGCTTACAGAATTCTAAGAGTGCCCAGGGTCTGGCTGGTCTTCGAAACCTTGGGAACACGGTAAGTTCTTCCTAGCCTACCTTTTTCCTGGGGCCACTCCTATTCTTCTGACTGGGAAAATTTAACCAGAGTCCCTTCCTGGCTCCAACTGACTCCCTGCCCTCTAGGGCAGTTGGTACCTGTCCTTCCTGGCGAGTGTTTCATGGAATTGCTAGGCTCTGCCTCACCCGCCCCCAGCAGGAAGCACTGCCAAAAGGAAGTTCCCCTTTTAACTGTCAGCTTGCTCCTCTCCTGGATCCTTCTCCTTGAGGATACCCATTGCTTCCCACCCCTTCTGTCCAGCGTACCCACTCCCTTTTGCTCACCTCAGTTGTAAACAACCAGTTATGTCTCCTGGGCCAATAGTAGCAATTTGCTTCACTTCACCCCCTTCACATAGAAAAAGAGAAACTTGAGGCTGTAAGAAGTTCATTTCTAGGTAGATGAAACAAAGAGACTTTGGTGCTAAGTAATAGAGATGCCACATAAAAGTTTGATCTCCCCCACTGTATAGATAAATATATACCAGAGATAAATCAACTTATAAAGACAACACGGTTTTTGGCTCACAGAGGTTTCAGTTCATGAACAATTAATTGGCCCTATTGCTTTGAGCTTACAGTGAGGCAGCACATCATGGCAGGAACATGGTAAAGCAAAACCACTCACCTCATGGCCAGGACACGAAAGAGAAAAGAGACTGGGGTCCCACAGTCCCCTTCAAGGGTGTATTCCCAGTGACCTAAAGACCTCCCCTAGAGCCCCACTTAAAATGTCCAGCACCATGGGCTGGGGTCCAAGTTTCTAATCTTTGGGGGACATTTAAGGTCAATACTGTGGTACCCGCTGATTTTCTGGATCATCTCTTGCAGTGCTTCATGAACTCGATTCTGCAGTGCCTGAGCAACACCCGGGAGCTGAGAGATTACTGCCTCCAGAGGCTCTATATGCGGGACCTCAGCCACACCAGCAATGCACACACAACCCTCATGGAAGGTGAGGAATCCTGCATGGACATGGCCCTGCTTCCTCACTTGATGCTTTTTCCACTCTACTCGAATAGTGCAAATAGTTGTGTTTTAGAAATACCTCTCTACTTTTCTGTCTTTGCCTACTTTTTGTTGGGATTCTAGTTTGAGTTTCTTATAGAAAATATCTCACCTGCCCTCCACACCCTTTCTCTGTTCTCTTCTTTCAACAGAGTTTGCAAAACTAATCCAGACCATATGGACTTCATCCCCCAATGATGTGGTGAGCCCTTCTGAGTTCAAGACCCAGATCCAGAGATATGCACCACGCTTCGTTGGTTATAAGTAAGGGCCCTGCAGACATGTCCTCCCAGGGTGGGTGGCAGCAAGAGCAGAGCCTTGATACAGAAGTGTTGCTCACACTTTTTTCTCTGGGTTAGTCAGCAGGATGCTCAGGAGTTCCTCCGCTTTCTTCTGGATGGGCTCCACAATGAGGTGAACCGAGTCACAGTGAGGCCTAAGTCCAACCCTGAGAACCTTGATCATCTCCCGTAAGTAGGGGAGGATGCTATATGGAAACAAAACTTTTGTGAACTTGAATTTTCAGCCTATTTCTTTGGGGTAAATGATTTTGGGGAGAACCAGATTTGCTTTTGAAGATCAAAGATCCACGTTGACATACCCTTAAGCTTAACATGGTTAGAGCTCTGACCTAGTTTTCTTCCTTCTTTGGTTCCCAGTGATGATGAAAAAGGGCGACAGATGTGGAGGAAATATCTAGAACGAGAAGACAGTCGGATTGGGGGTAAGTGCACAGACGGAAAAAATGGCTGCCTTATTGTAATCTGTTTCACCTGAGCGGAGCATGAAAAGCCCTGAGTATGGGCTGGGGATGTGGCTCAAGCGGTAGCGTGCTCACCTGGCATGAGTACAGCCCGGGTTCGATCCTCAGCACCACATACAAACAAAGATGTTGTGTCCGCCAAAAACTAAAAAATAAATATTAAAAATTCTCTCTCAAAAAAAAAAAAAAAAAGAAAAGCCCTGAGTAGATCTGGGGTCAGCCCAGTGGGGGAGCACTTGCCTAGCACGTGTGAAGCCCTGGGTCCCATCAGCACTGCAAAAAAGAAAAGCCTTAAGAGTCATTCTGCGGGGAACTCTGCTTCTGCCCACATCCAACAAACTGAGGCAGGAACAGTGAGAAGACTGTGTGCACCCCCCGTGTTCAGCATCTCCTGACCTTCTCTTCCCAGATCTCTTTGTTGGGCAGCTAAAGAGCTCCCTGACATGTACCGACTGTGGTTACTGCTCTACAGTCTTTGATCCCTTCTGGGACCTCTCACTGCCCATTGCTAAGGTATGCACTACTGTTGCCCCACGTTTGGAGCTCCCTCCTGTCCTTCCATGTCATCAACAGCTGACCTTTACTTTTTTTTTTCTCCAGCGAGGTTATCCTGAAGTAACACTAATGGACTGCATGAGGCTCTTCACCAAAGAGGATGTGCTTGATGGTGATGAAAAGCCAGTAAGTCATCCTTTGGTGACAGCAACAACATATTTCCATGAGACTTCTCTGGGAAAGGTCCAGCCGAGGAGTTACTGGACTTGCCCTTTGATTTCTCCCACAGGTTCTTTAGCTCTGTTTATCTTGTCTTTCAGACATGCTGTCGCTGCCGAGCCAGAAAAAGATGTATAAAGAAGTTCTCCATCCAGAGGTTCCCAAAGATCTTGGTGCTCCGTATCCTTAAGGTCCCTGGGCCTTGGCTTTTTTTTTTTTTTTTTTTTGGCGGGGGGAGTACTTGGGATTGAACTCAGTGGCACTCAACCACTGAGACACATCCCCAGTCCTATTTTGTATTTTATTTAGAGACAGGGTCTCACTGAGTTGCTTTGCACCTCGCCATTACTGAGGCTGGCTTTGAACTTGTGATTCTCTTATCTCATCCTCCTGAGCCACTGGGATTACAGGCTTGCACTGCTGCACCTGGCCCTAGCCCTTTTTAAATTTTATTTAGAGACAGGGTCTCCTAAGTTGCTGAGGCTGACTGAAATTGCAGTCCTCCTGCCTCGGCCTCCTGTGCCACTGCACCTAGCAGGGACCTGACTTATGAGAATGACTGATGACAAAGAGATCATCAAAAATCACCAAAATTTTGGTGAGGGGAGCAGAGTAGGAAAATTTGAAACTTGTAGACTTCCTTGTGTTTGCTTTTCTGCTTCCTGAGGAAGGTGCAGTTGCTTGTGTGGTCTCATCTAGTTGCCTCTGTTCTTGCCATGCCATCTGTCCTTAACTCATCAATCCCAGACCTGAAGCGGTTCTCAGAATCCAGGATACGAACCAGCAAGCTCACAACATTTGTGAATTTCCCACTAAAAGACCTGGACTTGAGAGAATTTGCCTCAGAAAACACCAGTGAGTATCTTCAAGAAGTGAAGAATCAGGGCACAGTGTCTAAGATACAGGTGGGAAGCAAGGAAATGGCAGGAAGCTAACATGAGTTAGCAAAAGATTGGGAAGAAGAGGCAGGAGGAGGGAATAGGGCGGTAGAGAATGCCTCCGGACTCAATGCCTTGCATTTCCTCCCCAGACCACGCTGTTTACAACCTGTATGCTGTGTCCAATCACTCCGGAACCACCATGGGCGGCCATTATACAGCCTACTGCCGAAGTCCAGTGACAGGCGAATGGCACACTTTCAATGACTCCAGGTGAGAGAGGGGGCTCAGGCAGGGCTCCTGGCTGTCAGACCATATGTCTCTCAGTGCGTGCTCAAAAGCTACTTAACACACACAAGTCTGCCCATCCTGAGGCTATCAAAAGACAGAAGTTGGGCCAAGCCTGGTGGCGCATGCCTTGTAGTCCCAGCAACTTGGGAGGCTGATGCAAGAGGATTCCAGGTTTGAGGCCACCTTAGCAACTGAGGGAGGACCTGTCTCAAATTTTTTTAAAAAATAAAAAGGGCTAGGGATGTGGCTCAGTGGTAAAGTTCCCCTGAGTTCAACCCCCAGTATTAACCTAACCAAACCAACAGAGTTTGGCTGTGGGTGTGTAATAGAGAAGTGAGAGACAGGGGCCTCACACTTCTTCAGCCACTCAGCTCTGTGAACCTGATGGCCTCCCGGGCCAGGACTCTGACTTTTCCCTGCTCTCTTCACAGTGTCACGCCCATGTCCTCCAGCCAAGTCCGCACCAGCGACGCCTACTTGCTCTTCTACGAGTTGGCCAGTCCACCCTCCCGTATGTAGCAGCAAGGAGCTACAGCCCTTCCCCCTTCCCCGTGGTGGCCCCACACCCTAAGTTTTTTAAAAAGACAAAAAAAAAAACAACAACAACAAAAAAAAAAAACCTGACAAATAAGAGAAAAATAAACTAAAATAAAGCTGCTGAGCAGGAGTTGATGCAGCCTGGTCAGGGTCTGGAGCAAGGAGCTGGGTGCCCCCAAGCCATGGCCTGGCGGGAAGATCCACTGGACACAGAGACCGGAGTCAGCACAGTGCTCCCTCGGCTTCTCTTGTGTGCATTTTTAAGCTTGTGGTTTTTTCCTGTGTGTAATAAACAACAGCAGTCTGTGGGGAGAAGATCTTCGTCCACCTGCCGTCCTCTCCAGCCCCTGCGCCTCCTGGGAAGACAGCGCCCTCTGGAGCCTTCTGGGAGCATCATTGCCTGAATCATGGCACCGTTGAGGAGCTGGCGCCTGTCTCTACCTGGACCTGCTCACCGGTCCAGAGCAGGAAGCACCCATGAGCCAAGAGCCCTCTTAACGCTGCTAACTCCAAGGGCACAGGCAAGGGGACATCTTTGAGGAAAGCTGGTTTGGGTTTTTTTTTTAATGCCCAGCTTTTTTTACTTACAGTAATGAAAGTGTTCGGACTGGAGACCCTCTCCTCCACACCTCTTCACAGCTGGCATGTTGGGCTGGTCCTTTTTGTGTAATTCTTCAAGTAGAACTTTCCCAGTGCTAGCCCCCTGTGGTGCTAGGCGGGGTTGGCCAGGCCCAAGCACACCACAGTAGACCTGGGATCTAAACAAGTTTTTGTTTTGGGTTTTTCATTTTGTTTTGGATGGAATCTAGTTGCCTCCAAGAATTGTGCCTTATAGCATTTGGGGACCAGGGGGTAACTGCCCCTCCCTGAAATATCCCTCAGTCCCTTCCCTTTTCCCCAGTGCCATGTTCAAACCCACTGGGGGAAATAGGGTCCCGCCCTGAGCCCCTGGTACGTTGTGCATTGCAGTGAGGCTAAGAGGGAAGTAGGTAAAACGATTTCTTACGATAGTGTATCAGTCCTTCCTGCCCGCCACCTCTTACCTACCCTGGTCTACTCCCTAGCTGTTTGAAGGATAGCACAAGCCCCCTGTCCCTCGAGCTTCTCTCCTTTAATTTATTCTCTTTTAACATCCCTTTCCCCTTGCCTTCCTGCCACCTGCCCCTTCTCAGAGCCTCCTAGACACAGGCCCTCTGGACCGAGTTTCTCAGGGATGCCCATGCCACCCCTCAGCTCCTCTTGGTGTTGGCCTTTGGTCCTTCCTTAGGAGCTGGAGCCTGGGTGTCTGGGGACATCTTGCCTCTGTTGTATGATTCCTGGGTTTTGCCCTAAGTTGTTAGACAAAACTCCATGCCATCCCAGAGAGCAAAGTTGTTCAGCACTGAGGCATGGAGCACTGTGCACTTTGCACACCCCACAGCTGGGCCCAGCCTGTGCCCCAGGGAGCCTGGACCATCCCAGTGCTCCTGGGACCAGGCACCAGAGAAAGACACCCTGAGTTTTACCTGGCCTGACACCCTTTTCTAGGGAAGACCTGTGAATCTGAGCCCAAGGGCTGGTGTACACTTGTTTACTGTGTAAGCAAGAGTAGAAGAATGTCTAATGTACAGTGGAACCTTGTACAGAATAAATAATAGCTTTGAGAAAGAAGCTGGTAAGTGGTGGAATCTTGATTTGGGAGGGGTGTGAATGCAGGAAGGGCTCCAAGCATATTAAGGGCCATGTAATTCATTCTCCAAGTAAGTTCTGGAAAAAGTTATTCACTTGTTAAATTTTTCAATTCTATAGAAAAGCTGAAAGAGTGCATTTTGAAAACTATATTATTCATCAAGATTCACTGAGTACTGATTTTTTCCTGCATTTTATTTATTTTTAGACGAACACATTACCTTTATTTTATTTATTTTTATATGGTGCTGAGGATCAAACCCAGTGCCTCACATATGCTAGGCATGCACTCTACCACTGAGCTACAACCCCAACCCCTTATATTTGTTTATACATCCTTTATTTTGGCCAAAATATTTAGGGGTGAGGTGTCATATCACACTTCTAAAGATCTCAGCATGTCTTCTTAAGTCATTCTCCTTCATGACACCTTTTTTACACCTGGGATAATTACCTAAAACACCTTCAAATGAACTGCTGGTCTGGGTACACAGTTCTTTGCTGAAATGTATGGGGCCCATGCAGGCCTACAGTGAGCTAAATCAAGCAAGCCTCTCCAGTGGGCATTGAACACAGGACAGCTCACTCTTGGAGCAGAGTGGCTTGACCTGAAATGATTCGGCCTGGTCCTTGATAAAGACCTCAGCTTCTTTCCCCTTTAAAATAGAAACAGCTGCCTTTATGTTAAAGGTTTGGTTCCCTGAGGGGCTTTGTTTTTACCTTTTTTGTGGTGCTAGGAATTGATCCCAGAGCCTTGCACATGCTAGGCAAGCGCTTGTACCCCTGAGTTTCAGGAGCCAGTCCCCTAAAGGGTTTTTTTTTTTTCCCCAAGACTTTGGATTTAACCCCTTAAAGGGATTAACTCCTTGAGGCACTCAGAAACATTCTCTATTTTTCCCCCTTTTTGGTGTTCGTGTGTGTTGGAGATTGAACCCAGAGGTGCTTTACGACTCCTCTGCATCCCCAGTCCTTTTTTTCATTTTGAGACAGAGTCTCTTAGTTGCCCAGGCTGGCCTCAAACTTTCAATCCTCCTGAGTTGCTGAGATGAAGGCAAACTCCACCATATCTGACTTTTTCCTTTTGATTATTCTTGCTATTCAGCTTTTCCATTTCTGCTGATTTTAGAACTAGGCAAATGCTTTGTGTGTCATCTGGGGATTGAACCCAGGGCCTCCAATATGCTGGGCAAGAGCTCTACCACACCCCAGCCCTGATTTTAGAATTAAGACGCTGAAGTCTCTAGGTAAGCTTAGCATTTCATGGGGATTCTTCCTGCCTTCCCTGCTGCATATACTTGAAAACCCACGGCCTATCTAGTCAATCCTCACTGAGGCAAGCACCAGCTTGTGTGGAGGCCTGAGTATGGCTGTTAAACCCACTTCATGGAGGGAGCACTTTTCTGGGCATTGTCCAAGAGTGTAGAAGGCAGGATTAGAAGCAGTAACTCAAATCCTGCAACTTCTCCTCAAGGGACCCAGATTTCCCTGGCCTCCATCAAAGTGGGTGGCCCAACCCAGGATAAGATTTTAAAGCTGATGACTTCCCCCTAGCCACAGGTAGATAAGATCCTCTTCAAAATGGAAACAATAGACTTGTAGCCAAGTGGATGGGTGAGCCCCAAAGAACTGTAACTCTTGCCTATCCCACTAGCTTCTCACCAGAGATAGAAGCCACCCTGTGCATTTTCCTTATCTCCTACTGGGGAGCATATGGTAAGGAAGAGGTAGGCACCCAACTCAGGCCCTCGCCTCTGCTCCCTGCTCTCCACTTGGTTTACTGTGCTTTCTCATCCCTGTGGCAGCAGGCCCTGGTGTTACACGGACACCAAACACAAACAGGTCTGTCCCCGTGTTTGGCATCCTGCTTCCCCCTTTAGTAACCTGGATTTCTTCTCCCATTCTTTGCTGGCATTCCTGCAGGCCTTCCCATAGGGGAGGTGCTCCATGTGCAGTTGCTCTTGTGTGACCTTGAACTGGGTCTTAACATACCAATGGTTCCCCGGTTCCAGTTTGCAGAATTAATTTAAGTGAATCAATGCTCAAAAAAATTCCTATTTCTATGAAGATTTAGAATTAGAGGACTGGGGTTGTGGCTCAGTGGCAGAGTGCTTGCCTAGCATGTGGGTTTGGCTCTTAGCACCACATATAAATAAGAAATAAAAGAAAAAATAGAATAAGGCACCCTTGTCCATGATTTCATTTTGGCAGTCTGCTGAACTCTCAGAAGGCCTTCTTAAGGCCACCATTGCCTATCAGTGGCAGAGGCAGGATGGAACCCCGTCAGTTCTCTTATCACAGTTTTATACCTTTTGGTGGAATTATCAACAGCGCTTTGTAGGAATTTTTCCTACTCTGCATCATTAGGAATTTAGCTAAACAGCAAGGTTATGTTCACACGTGTCCAATAGAAAAACCAGCATAATCCACCTGAGCCCTGCTAGGTTTGAGCTAGACACCTCTGAGTGTCCCCATCCTTCATCACTCTTGAAGCACAAACAAGTATCTGTGTGGGATACGGAAGGCAATAGAAAAGGACTAGTGAGTATCGTCCAAGAAAAATATTTAATCTCACTGGGCCGGGCTTGGTGTCGCATGCCTATAATCCTAGCAACTTGGGAGGCTGAGGCAGGAGGATCACAAATTCAAGGAGAGCCTCAGCAATTTAGCAAGGCCCTAAGCAAATTCATGAGACCCTGTCCCAAAATAAAATATAGAAAGGGCGCCAGGCATGGTGGCACACACCTGTAATCCCAGCAGTTCAGGAAGATGAGACAAATCATGATCATGAGTTCAAAGCCAGCCTCAGCAATGATGAGAGGCTAAGCAACTCAGTCTCTAAATAAAATACAAAATAGGGCTGGGGATGTGGCTCAGTGGTCAAGTGCCCCTGGGTTCAATCCCCACTACCAAACAAAAACAGTATGGTATATGGCAGGTACTCAACAAATGTCCATTTCCCATCTGAGCCCCATTTCCAAAACTAAACCATCAGAGCTCCACTGAGATTTTCCTAGCAGGTAATCATCAGCAAATGTTTAATTCCCTTGAGAATACTGAGTACCACCTTTCTTCGAACCGCACATTGACAGAGGTTTACATTTAGAGCCTCTTCCCAGCTCAGGGATAATCCTAGGGATGCATAGTAGACATAGCACTGCCCAAACCGGACAGAAACTGTGTGCTAGGGTCACTGGATGGGCATTCCAAAACCAGGGCATGAGCTTCCTTGATCTCCTGATCTTTGGGGTGATCTGCCTTTTGGAGTTGTTGGTGAGCCAGGGCCACTAAGCTACTGTCTTCTAGGCCCCTGAAGACTAGGGAAGAGTCAAGAACCAGGGGATGAAGGTCAAGACCCAGGGTGGCAGTGAGCAAGGAGGAGGAGTCCATTTGGAAGGTTTGGCAGAAAAGGAGGGGGGCACTGAGCACATTCCTATAATGGTGGTCCTGTAGCAAGGAGAAGGGAGGGCATTTCCGATTGGAGGAAGATGGACAGGCAGGGTGAACACAGCCTGTTCCAGGGACAGAGCGGAGGCCAGCCTGGTTGGAGTGGAAGGTTTGAGCTGGAGAACTAGGCCCAGAGAAAGCTGGAGAGCTGGAGTCCTGCAATAGAACAGGACCACAAGTGGCTCGCCCTACCTGCTGCTCGTTCACTGACCTCCAGAGGGGAGGAGAGTGAACCGCGGAGGGATGAGCATGAGGGAGCCATAGGGAGCCATAGGGATCCATGGTCTCAGGAATGAAGGCACAAACCAGGGGAGCCTCTGGAGGTGGGGTCTCATGCAGGAGCCACATTAGCATGCCATGTCCCCTGTCTTGTTAACTTGTACAATGGGCCGAGGGCACAGTGATAGGCAGGACAACCCATGAGGACAGCGCTACAGCAGTAAGGGACAGAGAGCAGGAGGGATGGTGTCACTGCTGAGACAGGTTGGGACTCGGGAGACGCCAGGAGGAAGGAAAAGGCAAGAAGGTCAGGCCCTGGGACCTGTGGGAAAGAGGAAAGGGACTCGGCCAGACAGAAGCAAGAAACCTCCCACCCCAGGCCCCAGGCCAACCTCTTCACACAGGTCCCAGTCAAGTGTCCTTGCTCACAGGTCCTCTTGCCCTCGGCCCATTGTACAAGTCTATAGGAAGGACATGGAAAATAGCAAAGAAAATGAGAAAAAAAAATATGGGCAAAAGAATGTAAAATTGAAAACCAGGAGTCCAATAGAGCCAGCTCTGATGTTCAGCCCGGCTCTTTGTACAGCTGTACAACTTTGGGCAAAAGCACTTAACTTCCAGGGCCTCAGCAACTGTGGAAAATGGGATCCTTCTAAATACTTCCCTGGGCCCCACTTTGAGGCCTTATATCCCAGGACGGGTGTGAGGGTCAAATACGATGATGAGTTGAGGGGTCTGCCTTCAATTTCACTCATATGGGGCTTTTGTGTTTTCATTTTCTTTCATTTGTGGTGTTGGGGATGGAGCCCAGGGCTTCTCTACCACTGAGTCACATCCCCAACCCTTTTTATTTTTTGTTTCAAGACAGAGTCTCACTAAGTTACTGAGTCTGTCCTCAAACTTGTGATCCTCCTGCCTCAGCCTCCTAGGATTACAGGAATGCCCCACCATGCATTTTTAAAATATTTTTTACAAAACAAAAAACATACTAAAAAGGGTAGCATTGTTTTACACATTTGCAAATCTCCTTAACATCTGGTCTAACAGAAACAGCTGGACTCTCATCCCTTTTGCATTCCACCCATCACCAAATCACACATCACAGAACATCTGGAAAACTGCATTGAGTGCAGAAACCAAGAAAGGCAAATAACATCTTAGTGTCATCAGGAAAACACTTCTGACCTCTCAAACCCTCTAAATAATTCCCTGGGCTCCACTTTGAGGACCACCACACTAAACCAGGAGCTGCTTGAGACAAGGACAACTGTCATCCTGTCAGCGCTGCTCCCAGCCAGGCCTGGCTCTGCAACCTCTCAATGAACAGTCTCAGGGAGCAGACCCAAGGGGAGTGGCCCTCCAACTCCACATCTTCTCCTCGAAGCTCAGCACAAGGCCACTCTGCCAGGCTCTGGCCCAGGCTCTTTGTGTGGTAAGGAACCCTACTTGGTCTGATCCAACCAGTATGATAAGAAGAAAACTTGCCCGTACAGTGACCTTCCCTAAAGCTGGGCACACACGCTTGCAATCCCAACAACTCAGGAGGCTGAGGCAGGAGGATCACAAATTCAAGGCCAGCTTGGGCAACTTAGCAAGGCTCTGTCTCAAAATATTTTTTTTTTTTTAAATGGGGAGAGCCAGGTGTGGTGGCTGTAATCCCAGCAGCTCAGGAGGCTGAAACAGGAGAATCACAAGTTCAAAGCCAGCCTCAGCAATGATGAGGCACCAAGCAACTCAGTGAGACCCTGTCTCTAAATAAAACACGAAATAGGGCTGGAGATGTGGCTCAGTTGTCGAGTGACCCTGAGTTCAAACCCCAGTGCCCTCCTCAAAAAAAGAGGGGGAGGCCAGGAGTGTCACTCAGTGGTAGAACACCTGCTTCAGTCCCCATTGGTGGAAAATTTTTTTCTTAAAGACCAAGTGCTGCTGGACTCAAGGGTCCTGGAAAAGGTCTGACCTCCCAGACAGAAGCACCTCAGGTCCTCAAGAGGGTAGATGAAGAAGAATGTAGGGATGGGGGATCCCCTCTCCTGAGTACAAGGAGAGCTGCCTGAGGAACACAGAATCTGTGTTGGTTCTTCTGCCCCTGCTAGTTTCCTCACTTTGCTCCCTTCTGGTATACTCTGTCCCCTATTCTTTCCAAACATGCCTCATTCTCACCACAGTACAAAAGCAATATGTCACAAAAAACATGCATTTGGTATTTACCCAGTCCTAGTAGGTGCAACTTTGTTCTCTGTATCTCATTAGCTGTGTGACCCTGGGGAAGGTACTTAACCTCTCAGAGCCCTAGCACCATCATTTGTAAAATAGTTATGTTACCTCATAGAGTTTGAAAGGAAAGAAATTGCACATAAGACCTCTTGCCCTAAAACATAGAAGACATTCTACAAATAGTAGCCATAAGAATTAGTCTGACTCCACGCCCCTCTGCCCTGCCCAACTCAGCCTGAGCATGGCTAACACAAAACAGATTAGCAATCCCTTATTTTCCTCCCTTGAGGACAGCTGGGCCAGACTGGATTTTCCAAAAGAACTTCACTCATGGAGAAGAGACATCAAGTGATCTCATTTTCAGTGTGGGCTTCCCACCCTGCAACAGCCCTACGACCCACCCCAGCCTGTGCAAGGCCTTGGGCACCTACCTCCCCATTCTCTATGCTGTCTCCTATCGGCTGAGGGGCCTCCTCCAGTTCAAGCCATGCTCTTTCTATAATGGTTCCCTTCCTTGTCCTGGTCACACAGGTAATCTTTTTTTTTTTTTTTAATATTTTTTTTTAAAAAAGAGAGAGAATTTATTTATTTATTTTTTTAGTTTTCGGTGGACACAACATCTTTGTTTGTATGTGGTGTTGAGGATTGAACCCGGGCCGCACACATGCCAGGCGAGCGCGCTACCGCTTAAGCCACATCCCCATCCCCCCACATGTAACCTAATAGGGACATTTCAAAGACCCAGGCTTGGCTAATGCCCATCACCCAGACCGGGAAGACTGATGGGCAGTTGGCTTTGCCCAGGGCCTTGAGACACAGAGGTCTTAAAGCTGCCAACCTACACCCAGCTTCTCTCTCTCTCTCAGACCCCTTGAGTCTCCCTAATATCTGCAAAGCAGCCCCATGTTTTCTTGCCGGCACCCCAGGAGCTTCCTCAGCCCCGGGTGAGGCGGGGAAGGGGTGGCGGGCTTGCTCACACGTGCCCACTGGGTACCTGCTTCCTCCACTGGAAGCTTCCTCAGCCACTGCCTGTGCCTTTAAGAACTGCCACCCTGTGCCAGGGTCTTGCCCTCAGCTCCTCAGCTGAGTTGGATTAAGGGACCATTTCGTGCCTCTGTGAATTCCTTCTGGCTGCCATCCCTTCCCCCACATGGAGACAGAGTAGCCATAGCTCCAATCAGTCAGCCAAGTGCAGCCCAAGAGCTGGTCTAGCCAGACAGCCTTTGCTCTCAGGGAGTAAAGGTTGCCCCATTTGGGAGGGAGCTGTGGCCAGAGAGGGGGCCCTTGGGGGTCTAGGGCTTTCACAGGGACTCCAGAGAGCCATGCAGAGCTTTGGGTCATGAAGGAATACTCGGATGTCATCCTCTGCATGGAGGCGACAGAACTGAGCAAGGTAAGGGCCACGAGGAACCCCCCCCCCCCCCCCCGAGACCCAGCATCCTCAGGCTGCACCCCCTCCTGGGGCCACCAAGAGCCCACTGCCTGCCCTCAGCCTCGAGCCTCTGCCTTCCAGACCGAGTTCTGCAATCCTGCCTTCGAGCCCGAAGCTGGGCTACCCGGCCCTTCACCAGCCCTCCGGCAGGACGCCAGCCACAACATCCAAGCTCCCTGGCATGGTAACCCTCTCAGGGGTGACCTGGGGGTAAGACAGGGGCCCAGAAGCTGAGCACCGTGTGAAGGAGGCCGAAGGGCAGGGGGCTCTAAACCCCCACTCCTGCCTATAGGCCGGCGTCCCAGAGGGCTGCAGCCAGACTGCCACTTCTCCTGGCTCTGCGTCCTCCTGCTCGCCAGTCTGCTGCTCCTGCTACTTGGGCTGCTCGTGGCCATCATCCTGTCCCGTGAGTACCTGGACTGACTCTGTGGGTCTCTACCCACCTCCTATGGATCCAGCACCTCTGAATGCCGCCTCTTCATCTTCCTCCTCTAGAGTTGACGGCTGCACCCCCACCTGGGGCCACCAAGAGCCCACTGCCTGCCCAAGGCCTCACCACTACTACTACCCCAACCACCAGCACCAGCACCACCTCCCCAGCTACCACAGGGCAGCAGGGGGCAGACACGAGCCCCACACACCAGGCCAGTGAGTACTAAGCGCAGTCCTCTAGGAAGGCCCAAGATGGCAGCTTGGAGGGGAAGCCAGAAAGTATTGCCTTGGGGAAAAAGGATCTCTCCTTATGAACTCTGAACTCTGAACTCTGCCCTCCATTCCTGCAGCCTGTGGGGGCCTCCTTCCTGGTCCAAGGGGCTTCTTCAGCAGCCCCAACTACCCAGATCCTTACCCACCCAATGCCCACTGCGTGTGGCACATCCAGGTGGCCACTGACCATACGATACAGCTCAAGATTGAAACCCTCAGCGTGGAGGGCGTGGCCGCCTGTCTTTTCGATCGCTTGGAAATCTCTCCTGAGCCTGAAGGGCCCCTCCTCAGGTGGGTCCCTCTTCCCCCAGGAGAGCCCGCCCTGGAGGCTAGGGGGAGCTGGGCAGAACCAGGAAGCTGCAGGGGAGGGCTGGGAGAGACTGGACCACTGGGCCCCACTAGGCCACCACCTTGCTGTGTGACCTTGCTTCCCCTCTTTGACCTCAGTTTCCTCATCTGTAAACGGAGTTCCTATCTTTCCCACGTAAGTCCCTGTAAGGACACATGTGCAGGAAAGTCAAGAGTTTCCTGGAAAATTAAAGGAGAATTTCATCTTATCAAGACCAGCCCTGGGATTGAGGAAACAGGCCACACACTCAGGCAAGCCCCAGTCTGGCTCACCCTGACCCAGGAGGCCTCCATCACGGGACCTGGCTTCTTGCAGGGTGTGTGGGAAGGTGCCTCCCCCGACACTGAACACCAACGCCAGCCGCCTCCAGGTGGCCTTCGTTTCTGACAGCAGTGTGGAAGGATCTGGTTTCCAGGCCTGGTACCAAGCTGTGGCCCCTGGGCACGGTGAGCGACATCCCCACCATGTGCCCAGCTGCCTATCGCCCATTCCTTGCCTCCAGTCACTCTCGGCACTGGCAAAAGATCTGGAGACTCTGGAGATTTCTGACCCCAGATGCCCTCCACCAGGGAGCTGTGCCCACGAAGAGTTCCACTGTGACCAGCTCGTCTGCCTGCTGCCTGACTCAGTATGTGACGGTTTTGCCAACTGTGCCGATGGCAGTGACGAGACTAACTGTAGTGCCAAGCTCTTGGGTATGGATCCACCAGGTGTAGGGAGGTACTGTCTTCAGGCAACTGCCCCAGGTTCAAGTTGGGCTCCCCAACCTTGACCCAGCCCCAAATCTGTATTCCTACCTGCCAACATTCCCTGCCTGGTTGGCCGAACTTGCTTGCCTGCAGGCTGGGCCCAAACTCTTGCTTTGCGGCCGCTGCAGGCCCTATTAGACGATGGAGACACAGGCCCTGGCAACTCATGAGCCCTTCCGCCTCCCTACAGGGTGTGGGGGGAATCTGACCGGGCTGCAGGGCACCTTCTCCACGCCCAGTGACCTACAGCAGCACCCTCACCAACAGGTAAGTGTGGTGCCCAGGGGAGCTGGTAGAGCACCCAGGTTAGTGTGACTGGGAACAGCATGGTAGACACTGCCTTGGACTTGGGAAAGTCAGAACTCAAGCAGACCGGAAGGGAACATTATTAAGTACCTACTGTGTACCCAGATATTCCTATGTTGGGCAAACCCATCTTTTGCTGAGACTAGCCACATTAAAGATCCTTCCCCTTTTAAGAGCCTCAGTTTCCTCATCTATAAATGGGGCTCCTGTCTTTCCCACGTATTTCCCTGTAAGGACACATGTGCAGGAAAGTCAAGAGTTTCCTGGAAAATTAAAGGAGACTTTTCATCTTATCAAGACAAGCCCTGGGGTTGAGGAAACAGGACCACACTCTCAGGCAAGCTCCAGTCTGGCTCACCCTGACCCAGGAGGCCTCCATCACGCGGACCTGGCTTCTTGCGTTCCACTGGGAAGCTGGGTGGGCACAAGCTTGCGCTGGGCTAAGAAGTCCCTTCTGAAGCTCATCCTGGATTCCCGGAGTGGGACAGGAGAAGGGCCCATGGGTTTCTCCATCTGCACCCTCCCCCAGCTTTGCACCTGGCATATCTCCGTGCCTGTTGGACATGGCATAGAACTCCAATTCTGGAACTTCAGCCTGGAAGCACAGGACGAGTGCAAGTTTGACTATGTGGAGGTGTATGAGACCAGCAGCTCAGGAGCCCTCAGCCTCCTGGGCAGGTACAGGAGCCAGGGTAGCTGAGCAGCTAACCCATCCTCCACTGCTGACACACCAAGCTTCCTACACATGGGCCCAACTTACTCCCCAACCTTGTTTTCTTCTGCCACTCCAGGCCACGGGTCTCCACCTTCACCCTAAAAGGCTTGTGCATGCTTATCTCAAAGCCCTCATGCCTGCAACTGCCCCACCCCAGGAAGTCCTTTGGCAAACCCCTCTCCACCCCCATTTTGACCACCCTGGAGGGCCATTTCCATTCCCCCACAAGCCCTCCTGAAGGGACTCAAGCCCAAGTAGTTTAAAACTTTGTCTACTGACTCTGTTTGTCCTCCTCACCATATCCTAAGTTCTGAGAGCAGCAACTGTTTCCAATTATCCCTGGCAAGTCCCAGAGCCCCAGCTCAGAGATGTAGCAGATGGCCTGGGGTCACATGCCCAGAACAACACTCTGTTGTGGGCAGGTTCTGTGGAGCAGAGACACCTCCACATCTCGTCTCCTCGCATCATGAACTGGCTGTGCTCTTCCGGACAGACCATAGCATCAGCAGCGGGGGCTTCTCCGCCACCTTCAAGGCCTTCAATGCCACAGAGAGTAAGTACCCCTGGGCGAGTGGGTGTGGGCAGTAGAGACACCTCCACAGAACAGAAGAGGGCTCTGGACCTGGTCAGGGCACCCCGGAGCGGGGGCAGTTCCAGGGTACTGCCATACCCCCTGTGCCTACAGACCCCTGTGGACCCAGAAAGTTCTTGTGCCAGAATGGAGGGTGTAGGGATCTGCAGTGGATGTGTGACTTGTGGAGAGACTGTATAGATGGCAACAATGACAAGAACTGCAGCAGTCCCTTGCTCCCACCCCCAGGTGAGAAGCCTGCACTGACACCCTGAATGGGCCCCAATCCTGAGCAGGCTGGGTGTCCAGCACCTTCCCCAACATTCCTTTCCCTCCTCCCTGATTGGAGTTGGGGGACCAGTTGCGTCTTACTCTCCTGACTGTGGGGCTACTTCACAGAGTCCTGGAGAGACTCTCAACTGGTGGGGGCAGTGGTACTTAGTGTCACACCAAAAGGACCCAGGAATCTGGGAATCAATGTTTGGGGCTTCAAGAATCAGCTACCTTGTCACACACAGTCCTCTCCACAACCCACTTCAAAGATGAAGATGAGATTTTACACAGAGTGGATGAGTTTATTACAGATGCCCAAGTACTTCCTGCAAATATGGGCACCCCACATTCCCTGAGATCAAAGAGGTGGCTGCATGATGCCCAGGATTGGCAACTGCTGCTTGGAGATGGCTCTTGAGAAGAACATGGATCCCTGATGTGTATAAAGCCTCTCTCCTTGTTAACTCTTTGGATTTTCACAACAATCTCCATCCGACCCATGTAAGGACCCAGAGTAATGAAGTGACTTGTCCCCACAGTGACCCCTTCTCCCATCCCTGCAGAGCTGGCCTGTGAGCCTATCCAGGTGGAGATGTGCATCGGTCTGAGTTACAACACCACGGCCTTCCCTAACATCTGGGTGGGCATGGCCACCCAGGAGGAGGTGGTAGATGTCCTCAGAGGCTACAAGGTGCTCTGGACAGAGACAAGGAGGGAGGCCACAGGAAGGGGAGGGAACCTGGGGAGCTGAGCACCTGAGGGCTGATCTCTTCTTCCCACAGAGCCTAACAAGCCTTCCCTGCTACCAGAATTTTCGGAGGCTCCTTTGTGGGCTGCTTGTGCCCCGCTGCACCCTGCTGGGCAGTGTCCTTCCCCCTTGCCGCTCTGTCTGCCAGGAGGCAGAGAGACAGTGCCAATCTGGCCTGGCACTACTGGGCACCCCCTGGCCCTTCAACTGCAACAGGCTGCCTGAGGCAGCTGGTTTGGAAGCCTGTGCACAGCCCTGACCCTCATGCTGGCCCTGCCTCTGCCTGCCCACAGGCTTTTGCCTTTATGGGCAAGCAGGCAGGGGACAAGGGAAGAGGGGACTTTTGCATAGAACTCTGTCCATCCTCTCTGGGTCCTCCTACGTAGGAAGAGAGACTGAGTCCTCAGTCCCTGGCTAATGGAGCCCTCCCACCTTCACTCTCCTTCCCTGTTCCTTTACTTGCCAAAGGCTGCTGACCTGGCTTCACACTGTGCCACTGGACAATGTAGAGGCTTTCCATGCAGGGTTTCCTATCTTTTGCTTTCTCTTTTCCATCTGCTTTTTCAGGTTCTCTGTCACCTGCCCTTTGTTTTTTTCATTTAGTCAACAAAACTGTATTGAGTGCCTATAGATTCAAAGGCCCTGTTCCTGCTGGCTCTCAGTCTCTGGAACTCTCACCCTCTGCTCTTGGCTGGTCCACTTATCCATGGTCTAGAGTCTTGTCCTTGGTCTCTGTCATTGCACCATCTCTCCCTCCTGCTCCTGGGAACCAGAGCCCTTAGCGTCTGGCTCTCACCAATTGCCTCTCAGTGCCCTGCTCAAATTCTCCCTCCCCCTCCCTTCTCCTCCCAAACTTTGGCCGACGGCCGGGCGACACCACGAGTTATTTCCCTGCTATTTCCCGGCCTGGAGCTCTTGGCCCTTGAACAACTGGTTTCCCCCTGGAGTCTGGGAGGAGCAGAGCAGAACCGACCAGGAGTGAACCAGGACCAGGGAAAGACGAGGACAAGGGGGTACCTGGGTGGGGTGAAGTGCAGGGCGGGAGCAAAGCCAAAAGGAGGGTCCGAAGTGGCGAGCGTCTCAAAGGAGGCCATTGAGAGAGCCAGCAGCGCCGGGGAGCTGGGAGTGGGTGAGTCCGGCAGAGGAGGGGGAATGGGGTGAGGGAGGAGACTGTGGGAAAGTCTGGGCGCCGGCTGGGGTGGGAGGGAGGGAAGGAGGGAGGGCCGGCCTCTCCTTTCCCTCTCGCCTGTGTTCTCCAGCTTCTGAGTTCTGGGGCGCCCCTTTTTCCATCCTCCAGCGCGCCCGCTCAGCCTCTGGGGCATGGCAGTGGGGTGGGGACCGGTTGGGCTGAGCAAGGGTGGAGAGCGAGGCGGGTGCCAGAATTCTGGGTTCCGACTCCAGCCCTGCCCGACCCACAGACGACGAGAGGACACCGGCGCTCGGGCTCCCGGTGCCGGCATCATGAGGCCTCTCCTCGCCCTGTTGCTCCTGAGCCTGGCGTCCGGCTCGCCCCCACTGGAAGATAACAAGATCCCCAGCTTGTGCCCGGGCCACCCGGGCCTTCCAGGCACACCGGGTCACCATGGCAGCCAGGGCCTGCCTGGCCGCGACGGCCGCGATGGCCGCGACGGCTTGCCCGGGACTCCCGGCGAGAAAGGCGAGGGCGGGAGGCCGGGTAAGGAAGCACCTTTGTTGAGGTCCAAATGGGATGTGGGAGCCACTGTGGTTCTCCTGTGCCCTCGGGTTCCGCAGGATTCGGGGCTCCCTCTAGGGGGCGCTAATGCCCCACCACTCAGGTCGGCGGGGCGGGGCGGGGCGGGGCACTCTTGAGACCCTCTTTGCTCAGCCGCTCAGATCTACCCCAACCCCTGCAGAAAACCGGGGCAGAGACTGGGGCGGAGAGAGGAAGCGGCTTTTCGGAGGCTCAGTGAGGCTGAGCGAGAGTGGGAGTTCTTGAAGTCGCCCTCCTGCACCCCGCTGCGGGCTGATCCCACCGCAACAGGCACCATTCTTAACCCTCCCCCTGTCCCGCAGGACTGCCGGGGCCGCGTGGGGAACCCGGGCCGCGAGGAGAGGCGGGACCCATGGGGGCAACCGGGCCTGCAGGCGAGTGCTCTGTGCCTCCGCGCTCCGCCTTTAGCGCTAAGCGCTCTGAGAGCCGGGTGCCTCCGCCTGCCGATGCGCCCCTACCCTTTGACCGCGTGCTGGTGAACGAGCAGGGACATTACGACGCCACCACCGGCAAATTCACCTGCCAAGTGCCGGGGGTCTACTACTTCGCAGTCCATGCCACCGTCTACCGGGCCAGTCTGCAGTTCGATCTGGTCAAAAACGGCGAGTCCATCGCTTCTTTCTTCCAGTTTTTCGGAGGGTGGCCCAAGCCAGCCTCGCTCTCCGGGGGTGCCATGGTGAGACTGGAGCCAGAGGACCAGGTGTGGGTGCAGGTGGGCGTGGGTGATTACATTGGCATCTATGCCAGCATCAAGACAGACAGCACCTTCTCTGGATTTCTTGTCTACTCCGACTGGCACAGCTCTCCAGTCTTTGCTTAGTGCCTACTGGAAAGTGAGCTCCCGCTCTCTTGCTTCTACAAGAGAAGGGTGTAACACTGACAGCGGCACATTCGGGAGGGCTGGCCCCCCCGGAATATTCTGAATGACTAGGGAAGTGGAATAGAGGCCTCTCCGTCCTGTGGCAAGCAAGAAATGGAGACCCAGGCTGTCTGAGGTCTGGTGCTGGCAGCATGGGGCAGTGGCTGGATTTCTGCCCAACACTAAAGGAATGTACTGCACTAGCAAATGTGGGTCCCCCTGGTTGCTCTGGCCCAAGGTGGGGTGTTCTTTTCCTGGTCCTCTGCTTCTCTGGATCCTCCTCCATCTCTCCTGCTTCAGGGACCAACCCTTTTCTCAGAGATCATTTAATAAATTTAACAAACCCTCTTACTGGCTTCAGCCTTTCTTTAGTGGTGGGGATACTCTGTTTCTGAGTATCCTGGTGGGCTGTGCAAGCAAACTGGGCGTTCTTGGATGGGATGGGGTAGGAAATGCAGGAAGCAGGCCCAGAGGAATGACAGCCTGCTTCACAGAGCTGTCACATGGGTTTCAGACATTGTGAAAAGGAGTATACGGGGTGTTTGGGGGAGGGGGTACCCTCCTGCTGTGGGGCCACCCAGAGAAAGGGGTGTCTTTTCTGACTCAAAGATGCCAAATCAGATGGGCACTGCCTTCACCACACATACCCTGCCCTGATCCAACAACAAAAGGCTAAGGTTTTTATTTATGGCTACTCTGGCTGTTTGTCTGGTCCCTGGATTACTGGAAAGTTATTGCTCTATCCCCATGCTAGGTGAATGATGTTCTTGGATGTCAAGATAAGTTATTTCTTTGGAAACCACAAGGGGGCGCCCCAGTTTCAGAATGCAACAAGCATTGGTAGCTTGAGCTCAGTCAGCACTTCTGGGGTGATTAAGGAGAGGAAGGGTATTAAGGTCTGCCAAAGGAGTTCCAGATGAGGGTGGAGGAAATGGGGTGCTTTACTTCCATCTCAGGAAGTTTATCTTCCCTCATAAAATGTTTATCCCCACATTAAACAGAGACTGGAAGGAGCCAAGCCTCCCCTTGTTTAGCTCCCTCTCCAGAGTTTGGGGAAGGGAAGAGAAAGAGCCATACCCAGCCACAAGCCTCCCACCTCTGATGTAGGTGGGTAACTCTCCCCCACTGTGCTGGGCACAACCTGGGTGGGCCAAGCCACTAAGTCTGAGGCTGAACACAAAGCCCCTTGGAAGCTCCCCTCCTCTGAACTTGAGAGCCCAGCCTCAATCTAATGACTAATAAATCAGAGCTTGCCAGTCCCAGTCTGCTCAGCCTATCAACCTAGACTGGAGGGGCCTCAAACCAGTTTCTTCAGGACCCACCTACCTCCTCCCCTTCCAGAAGACAGTCCCAGGCATTATACTCTTAGAGGGAACACACAATTATGGGGGAGTGCCCCTTCTCTCTGGTCATGTGAGGGCAGCTATGATCATGGGCATTGGGCCACACTGGAGCCAGAGATAGGCCTCAGGCCTCCTGAGCTTCAGTTCCCTGCTCTCCACCAGGAGGCCCCACAGCCCTCCTCCAGCCCATCATAGCACTAGTCTCTGTGCCAGGAAACAAGAGACAAGCCCCAGCTCCTCCAGACATCAGGACCCCAAGGCCCCTCCTGGGAAGAATGGCACCAAAGGGAAAGCTGAGAAGGTAGACTTAAAGAGTAAGAAGTTTACATTCAGCTCTACCAAGACTTAATTCTGGCAGAAATGGAAGACAGGGAAGGCTTTTCTAGAAACTTGTGTGTGAAAGGACTAACTGGAAGGGGTGAGAGCTAACCCAGCCACACCTGGCACAGACCCTCCCTTTGGCATGGCCCTCCTGCCTTATTTCCCCTCTTCTCCAGGCGCCAGTTCAAGGCCTGGTCCCTACCAGAGAACATACCTTCCTGACTCTAGCAGGACTGAAAGATCCTTCTGTAGCATCTGTCACCTTGATCAACTATTAACTTTTGCAGAGATGCACACAGACGCGGTCAGAGCTGTCAAGAGAACTTTATTCATTGGAAACTGGGCAAACAGACCCCTCAGGGAGCTGCATGCCCCTAAGCCCTGGCCCCTTCTGTTTGGACCCTAGTGAAATGTGCACAGCTGCCCTCCCTAATGTCAGGGAGAGACAAAGAGGAATGCCATTTTTTCTATGTAAAGTGAGGAATAAAAGGGGAATGAGTAGAAATCTGGTTATCCCTCCTGAGGCTCCCTGTGGAGCTGGGGTGCCTGAGGTTACATGGTCCCTAGATCAGGTGCAGATGCACACCCCTCCCAGAGGTAAACTGATCCCAGCTTTTGGATCAGGTTGGGAGAGAGCCTCTTAAGATCATGACAGGCAGAAGTGGCTCTAAGGGCACCTGAGAGATTCCACCCCCAAACCTACCAGGGCACAGGGGCTCTGGCTGAACACAAAGGTTCAAGATCATTCCAAGGCCCCTGAGTTGCCAAAATATCCAAGTGACACTGATGTGTTGTGTTGCAGAAGCTGGGGGGAAAGTGGGAAAGAGGCAGGGGGAGTACCTACAAATCTCCAACAGGAAAACCAGAAGCAGAGACAGGTAGCCCCAGAGGCTGGTATGTGGGTGCGCCTGGGCAAGTTGGAGGAGAACCCACAGCACACAGTCTCAGGACCTTTGCATAGTGACATACTCACCACCCTCAGCATCAAAGGGACCCAACTGGGTACAGAGAAGCTATGTTGCCCTGCCCCCCCCCCCCCCCAGATCAAAGACTTCCATAGTGTCCCATCTCTGTGTTCTGGATGTATGGCTTGAGGCTTAGCAGGACAACCAAAGGGCAGAGGATTTCAGGCCAGGACCCAGCAGTGAGGTGTTAATTCTGTCCCAGAGCAGGTGCCTGTGTGGAGCGTGGAGAGTAGACAGGCAGGGAGGGAGTCTTCAGAGGTAGACATTGAGGGTCTGCAGAATACCCCGGCGGCAAAGCGGGCAGTTGCGGTGGTAGACGGGGTGGCGCATCAGGATTTCAGTGCAGGCCTGGCATAAGCACAGGTGCCTGCAGGGCAGAAGCAGCACAGTCTTGCTCTGGTCCTGGCAGATGACGCACTTCTTCCGCTCCTCTTGCTCCTTTAGCAACTTCCACGGGTCTTGCCCAGCTGTAGACTCTTCCTCATTGAGCCTCTCCCGGCCCCGGGCAGGTGTCACTCTTATGGTACTGACCTCCTCCTCTTCTGCCTCTGATCTGGGCCCTGCTTCAGGAAGAGTGTCCTGTCCCTGGGTCCTGGTTGAAAATACCCTCCTAGGGCCACCCTGAGGGGCCCCTGGTGCCCCTCCCCGGTATGGCCAGCTCGCCAGCTGTAGGCTGCGGCTCCATACTTGGCGCCAGGCCTCCAAGCCCAGGGCTAGGCGAGACAGCCTGACAACGTCCTCTCGCAGTCGATGGTATGATGGCCAGGTATGAAGCTGACTGAGTGCTCGGGTGACCAGTCTCAGGGTGAAGTCTGGGTGCAACACAGTCACTGTCACTGCAAGCACACAAGCCAGTAACACCAGGCCAGTGATATTGACAAGTACAAAGCTGGCCAGGAGTCGGGCAGCTGAGGCCAGCAGTTCCAATACTAGTTGGCAGGGGGTCCAAAGGAGGATGGCCATGGCCACAGCACTGCTGGAAATATGGGCCAGGAAGGCAGCCACCACATCCGTCATCCTCCACAGAGGGCCCGTAACTGTATCCCAGAGGGCCAGCACCAGGGAGAAGAGGTTCTGAGTGCCAATGAGGCAGATGTTGACCAGGCTGTTGATCACATAGGCCACCAGGCTCATAGCAATAGTACAGATGTCACAGGCCTGGCGCAGCAAAGAATGGCCATTGGAGACCACATTGAGGATACCCCTGTGCAGTATTTCCCGGCTCCGTAATGCCCCATGAGATGCCAGGTGCCCCAGGAGCTTCAGGCTCTCAAGGCCAGAGCAGCAGCTATACAGCAGAGTACACAAGGCCTGCAAGCCCCCAAAGGTGAACCGGACCAAGGCTTCCATCAAGGCCAGCAGTGAAAGCAGGACACCTCGGCCCAAGTGCAGAAGACTAGTCAGTACCGTGTGTGGCAGGTTGTAGATGAAGGCCAGGAGCCAGGCCAGGGAAGCCAGGAGGGAGGACACGAGCAGGAAGTTGAGATCCAACACCAAGGTCAGCACGTCCAGCACCAGGCCCACCCCATTCACTACCAGGTACACAGCCTCCATGATAGGGATATGGAGGTCAGTCCAAAAGAAAGGCTGGCTCCTCAGTTGAGGGCGCTGTCAAGGTTGTCAATATTTTGGGTGATCAGGAATTAATTTGGAAGGTAAGTGAGCAGCCTCCAAATCAGGGGGAACGAAAAGCTAAGGAAAAAGTGGGTTAGAGAGAAGGGGAGTCTTAATAGAGGGAAAGGGGGCCAGATGCCGCTCCAAGAGTCCCGGTTTTGAAGGCGGGCTGGTTGGGAGGGAAGAAGCCAAACATCTCTGAAGTGAAGGTGAGCACAGTCTGGAGGAGAGACCTCGGCTTTGGAGGCCTGGTGTGGCGTACCACCACCAGGCAGTGGGTCAGACCGGGAGGAGACCGGGAACCGATGGGATGGGATCGGATCGGATCGGGCCGGGCCGGGGCCGGGTGGGGGCGGCGCTAGCTGGGCGCGTCTCGCGGTCCAGCTACGCAGGTGCCCCTGTCCCCGCCCGGCCCCCGTCCTCCCGCTCGCGGCGCTGGACGCCCAAAGAGGGAATGGGAGAGGGAGCCGGCCTCAGCAAACCCCGAGCGCGGCCTCTACTTCGCTGGGCGCAGCCATCTTGTGTGCGAAGGAGTGGGACAAGAGGCGTGACAAGGAGGGAGGGAGGACTATATCCGGCCAATCGGTGAGGGTCCAAGCCAGGAATGTCGAGCGTTCATTGGTCCGTTTGAAGGGCGCCCAAACAGATGTGCGTTCCAAAAAGAGGGGCGGAGACCTACTAACATCCCCGCCCCTTTGAGGTGATGATTGGTCCATTGACGGGAAGTGTCGGAATACGCCCTTTCAGCCCCGCCCACTAAAGGATCCCGCCTGGAATGAGGCTACGTTTGGTTGTTTTTCTTCTTCCCGGAGATGGAGAGTGGGCTCTTTAGGCTCAAGTCGTAGGTCGTCTTCTCTGGGCTGGGCTCTGGGGTAGCATCGTCTCCGCATCCCGCTCATACCCACTGCCTCGTCGTCTTATTCATTCATAAGACAAGAGGAAACATTGTTCCGGGAGATTCCAAGATTGCTATTCCAAATTTTCTCATCAGGTTTTCCAATGTCCTCTGTAGATGTCCTTGTGAAAAAAGAAGCAGCTCAGCTTCCTATCCCGGCCCCTATTATTTTGTCTACTTTTACACGCTATTGTTGAATCTGCGCCTGGGAAGCTCCAGGTTCCTTAGGAAGTGGTCCTTTAATGCTCAAATGCGTACTCGAAATATATTCGAAACCATATTCCAAATATTTCGGGAATCCTGGTATTTTCCACTAACTCCAAGGACACTTGGATAACTTATCAACTTTACTCTAATTTCCTACTTGAATTGAATTCTCCATCTCCTCTCTGACTTGGGTTCCTAAAAGTGTTCCCCTTCACCCCACCCTGAACACCCCAGTCTTTCGGAGTCCTTCATTCCCCAAAGCGTCACTGATACAAAGTTAAGGTATGCAGCAGACCTTTACTAAGGCACTGGGGACACAGTAGAGGTTACACTGTGGTACAGAGCAAGGACTGCAGTCTCTACAATTCCATTTTCCAGGCACTCCCCCCCACCCCACCCCCACACACTGATTAGGCACCAATTCGAGATAATTCTCTTTCTCTTGTGATTTCCCCTCTTTTTCTTTAAACATTAGACTCCAACTCCTCAATTTTGTTACTTGATTATACTAAATAGTGTATTTTTAATTCTAGCCCAATCCAATCTGTGAACATAAAATGTTAATTTATCTAAACAAAGAAAAAAACATATGAAAATTCATTTTATTCCCCTGCCCATTCATGGTTTGTTGTGGGGGTTATTGTTGCTGGTGTAGTTTTTATTGTCATACTATGTACTTTCTCCAATTTCAGGTCTTGGGGAATATAAGCACCCCACTTTTGAGCTACTCTATCCCACCACTCCTATCCTCCTCTTCAGGGTTGGTTTTTGGTTTGTTTGTTTGCTTGCTTTTTGGTACCAGGGATTAAACCCAGGGGCACTTAACCAATGAGCCACATCTTTAGCCCCCTTTTTTGTATTTTATTTAGAGAAAGGGTCTCGCTGAGTTGCTTAGGGCCTCACTAAGTTGCTGGCTTTGAACTTGCCATCCTCCTGCCTAAGCTTCCTGAGTTGCTGTTGTTACAGGCCTGCTCCACCCACCGTGTCTGGTTTCTTCATTCTTCAGGGATCTTACTTGTCCCAGGAACACTGTTTTGCTCTTTTTTTTTTTTTTAGTTGTAGATGGATACAATTTCATATTTTATCGTTTTATCTATGTGGGTTTTTTTAATGTGTTGCTGAGGATCAAACTCAGTGCCTCACACGTGTAAAGCAGGCGCTCTACCACTGAACTAGAACCCCAGCCCCACTATTTTGCTCTTAATCAAATGTCCTGCAGCACTTGACAGAACTGACCACTTCCTCCATGCTTGACCTTGGTTTCCATCATAGCCGCCTCTCCTCTCCACATCATTTCTAAATCTGTGCCTTCAGCCTGAACCTGTCCTGCAAACTTCAGGTTCCAATTGCTTCCTGGACATCCTACTAGTGCTGAAAAAGAATAGGTAGTGGTCAAGCAATGGGTCTCAATTAAGGTCTTATTCAAAGGCAGAGACCACAGCAGGAGACTAACTGGAAGAAATATTAATGGGCACCATCAAGGCCTATTTCAAATGTAAAAGACCATGATGAGGTGCATCTGTGGGAACATCCCAGCCAACTCCTTGGGCCCAGAGAAGCAAGAAAATGGAAGGTGGGAGTGAACCCAGATGGGAGTTACAGAAAGGATTAAAACTCAGGCTAAAGGAAGCAGCCAATGCTTTTCAATGTCTATTTAACATAAAATTTCCATCAATTCTCATACCCCAAACCATGTAAGCCCCTGAGCCAGCACACCAGAATGGGTTTTCCTGCTATCTGGCCCTCTCCCACATCTCCAGTACTCCAACTCTTCTCACTTAAATAAATCCTATTCTGTTTACTCTTCCCTTCCATTATTGTCCGTGGATTTCATTTTTCAAATTTGCAAGATAAGAACCCAGAAGAAAATTGGAGAAGCAAGGAATCTAATCCCATCTCAAAAATCCGGTTTTAGTGATTCACACTCCATTTGTCCAAAAATCAAACTTGGCAAAGTTGTGGTGCCTACACCATATACAATTAACCAGTCAGCTTTCTATACGAATAATCACCTAAATATCTCAGAATTGGCAGGATCCTCTAAGAGAGTATTTCCATTAGTTTGGGAACAAAACCTCCCCTTTGAGTGACCTGAGACTGACTAATCCAAACACCCGTAATTGGCCACAGCCCTTGCCCTTCAGGAAACCCAGCTGGGGACAATGACAAAGACTGGAACTGACTCAGGGAGGAAGTTCAAATTGCTTGCCAGTGGGAGTCCCAGAAATCCATAAACCAGATCTTGAGAAAATTGAATGCCTAGAAGTGCTATCCTTGCAGGATTTTGTAAGGGAAGATGCAGTGGGGTGAACTGAGGCCCTGTTCAGTACTAGTAGGTATCTACTGTCCTAGCTACAAGGCTTTTGTTTTGCTTGGTGAAAGATTCCAGCTGGGGCTAGAGAAGGCATCACCACCCCATGCCACCCCTGTGGTATTAGAAATTGAATTCAGAGGCCCTCAGCCCTTTTAATTTTGTTGTGAGAACAGGTCTTGCTAAATTGCCCAGGCTGGCCTTGAACTTTCCATCTTCCTGCCTCAGCCTCCCAAGTTGCTTGGTTTTAGGTGTGTGCAACCATGCCCAACTGAGATTTTTAGTGGTTATGAGGGGGTGAATGTTGAGAGCCACAGCGAGTTGGAATAGCCCCTGGCATTTTGCCAGAAGTAATGGTTGAGGTGAGCCATTAAGATGATGATAATTAAGTTAAGCTGTGTATAATTGCTGTGACTGGATGATGCTGGATTGAAACAGGCTGTGTATTCAATTGTATATAGACCCCTGCTGTCCGTAATAGGGTGGCTCCGGCAATAGGGGGAGTTTTCCCGGACCCTTGAGTTCTGGCGGAGCCCAAGGGAAGGTGAGGGAGTTCCGGTTGGTGTGATGTGCCTGGGAGGGCCACGTGGGTGGCGTTCGGAAATAAAGGTCGGAAATAAAGTTTGTTCCTGCTTGAGTGGCTCCCGATTTGTGCCCAGCCAGGTGAAGGTTAAGAGTTTGGGCAAAGGGGGCTGGGGATGTGGCTCAAGCGGTAGCGCGCTAGCTTGGCATGCGTGTGGCCTGGGTTCGATCCTCAGCACCACATACAAACAAAGATGTTGTGTCTACCAAAAACAAACAAACAAAAAAATATTTAAAAAAAAAGAGATAGATTGGGTAAAGCCAGGAAAGAATGTCTAATTTAGGAGTTTTGTGCTGTTATGTGTATATTTCTTCACTATCCTTTCAGTAAAAATCTATATTACTGGAGTGGTTTTAGAGTTGAATTGTTTTTTAATTTAATTTTGTTTTTAAATTATTCAGATAATTTTCAGGGTCCCGAAGTCAAAACTATAAAGGTACACTCACAGGAACACTTTTTTTTTTTTAAAGAGAGAGAGAGAGAGAATTTTTTAATATTTATTTTTTAGTTATCGGCAGACACAACATCTTTGTGTATGTGATGCTGAGGATCGAACCTGGGCTGAACACATGCCAGGCGAGCGCGCTACCGCTTGAGCCACATCCCCAGCCCCATCACAGGAACACTTTCATTCTGGCCCCTTCCATGCTGAATCCTTCCAGTAGCACCCAAGCTTTAGAGGACCCCACAACATCACAAACATACTAAAAATGTCTTCATAAAAGAACACAAGACTGCTGGAAGCGGTGGTGCACACCCACAATCTCAGTGGCTCAGGAGGCTGAGGCAGGAGGATCACAAGTTCAAGGCCAGCCTCAGGAATTTAATGAGACTCTCAGTGTCTTAGTGAGACTCTGTCTCAAAATAAAAAATAAAAAGGTGGGGGTGGGGATGTGGCCCAGTGGTAAAGCACCCCTGGGTTTAATCCCCAGTGCAAAAAAAAAAAAAATTAGAACCCATGGCTTCCTCTGTAGATCAGGACCCAGAACTAGGCATTGGTACAGAAGAGCCTGTGACTCTAAAAACATCATCTCTGGTAATAACATGGTTCACGCCCAGAGAAGCGCTTCCACACATCTCAGAAGCCATGTCCTAGAAACACGATGTCACTGATTCCAAATGCCACAAAGGTCAGTAGGTTGTACCAAGAATATTTTAAGAGATCAGAAGTAATTAGATAAGAAAATAGATAAAACTGTCTGGTGTGATGGCACACACCTGTAATCTGAGCAACTCAGGAAACTGAGGAGGAGGATGACATGTTCAAGGCCAGCAAGGCCAGCCTTATCAACTTAGCAAGACCCAGTCTCAAAATTAAACATAAAGTGCTCACTTCGGCAGCACATATACTAAAATTGGGACAACACAGAGAAGATTTGCATGGCCCCTAAGCAAGAATGACACGAAATTCGTGAAGCATTCCATATTTTTCCCAATAACATTCCATTGCCCTAAGCAAATTTCATGCTTATCCAAAAGTTGAGGGGTGGGAACATGCACATAAAGGAATCTATGAGGTCACATGACAAAGTATGTTGATACATAGGGGTAAATGTGTGTGTAAGGAAATGTATCCCTTAATAAAATTAGCCATACTATGAAAAACATTTAAATATAAAAAGAGCTGGGGGGCTGGGATTGTGGCTCAGAGGTAGAGCACTCACCTAGTCCATCTACAAAAAAGATTCTCTCTCTCCTTAAAAAAAAAAAAAAAAACAAAGAGCTGGGGAGGTAGCTCAGTGATAGAGTGTCCCAGGGTTCAGTTCCCAGTAGGGGGGAAGACCCTGTCTGAAAATAAATAATAAAAAGGACTAGGGATGTAGCATGGTGGTAAAATACTCCTGGGCTCAATCCCCATGATGAAAGAGAGAAATTAATTAACTGGTCAAATCTTTCTCACTGTTGTTCTTCCTATCTCAGTTTGTGGCTCCAGAAGTACTCAGAAATTAATATAGTGTTTTTTTTTTTAATTTTTATTGTTGGTTGTTCAAAACATTACATAGTTCTTGATATATCATATTTCACACTTTGATTCAAGTAGGTTATGAACTCCCATTTTTACCCCGTATACAGATTGCAGAATCACATCAGTTACACATCCATTGATTTACATATTGCCATACTAGTGTCTGTTGTATTCTGCTGCCTTTCCTATCTTCTACTATCCCCCCTCCCCTCCCCTCCCCTCCCCTCTTCTCTCTCTACTGTCATTAATATAGTGTTTTTAATAGTAGCTGAGGAACATTTTGTAATATTAATTCCTATTTATTTTAAAATTCATACCTATGTAGGTCTAAATGAAACAGGCATGTGTATTTAACTGTTTGACTCAAAGGAAGGATTTTGGGGAAGCTACTATTGATTTTAAGCATTGCTTTAAAAGATTATCAAGGGAAATTCTATGGTAATGGCACTGATGTGGTTAATAAAGATAAAGGTAGTCAGGCATGATAGCACACACCTGTAACCCCAGCTGCTTGGAAAGCTATGGGAAGACTGAGCAGGAAGATCACAAGTTTGAGTCCAGCCTTGGCAACTTAGCAAGACCCTGTCTCAAAATAAAATTTAAAAAGTGCTGGGGTTGGGCTGGGGATGTGGCTCAAGCTGTAGCGCACTTGCCTGGCATGCATGCGGCCGGGTTCGATCCTCAGCACCACGTACAAACAAAGATGTTGTGTCTGTCGAAAACTAAAAAATAAAAATTTTTTTAAAAAAGTGCTGGGGTAGAGTTCAATGGTATAACACTTGCCTAGAATACGTGAGTCCCTGAATTCAATCCCCAGAACTATAAATAAATAGTTAAGGTGAACAAGTCAGAATCTTAGCCAAATATCCAGAAGCATTTTTGGGGCCATGTGTCCTCTATAGCACATAGTTGAACTTGTCAGGAAACCCAGCCTAACTGTGCTGATACTGTTAACATTCTTTGGTTAATAAAAAGATTATAATGGAATGTTCAGGAACAGCTCAAAATGAAACATCTTGGAAAAAATCCATATCAAATTTGACTTTACAACTCTCTTGGATACATGATGGAATGCTGGCTACATGTTGCTAAAACAAGTAGATTTATTTAGACAAGAAACTAAAGCAGGCTAGATGTGGTGGTGCACACCTGTAATCCCAGCAGCTCAGGAGACTGAGACAGGAAGATCTTGAGTTCAAACTAGACTCAGCCTAAGCAACACAGTGAGACCCTGTCTCAAGATAAAAGGTTCAATTTCTGGTATCAAAAAAGAAAAGAAACTAAAGCAAGAAGAGTGAAGCAAGACAACAAGAGTGGCAAATAAGGAGCAAATAAATGGTCTCAAGTGGACAAAGAAATTACTCTTGAATGTGCATTACCTGCAGCTATTCAAAATGGGCTGTTGCTTATTGTAAATAATATTGACAAAAGTCTAACAAGCATCTGCCTCCGCTGAGGTAGGAGGATTGCTTGAAACCAGCCTGGAAACCCAGCAAGACCCCATTTCAAAACCAAACTATAGCCAGGTGTGGTAGCACACACCTATAATCCCAGAGACTCAAGAGGCTGAGTCAGGAGGATCACAAGTTTGTGGCCAGTCTCAGCAACTTAATGAGACCCTCAGCTACTTAGTGAGACTCTGTCTCAAAATAAAATGAAAAATAAAAAGGGTTGGGGATATAGCTCCGTGGTTAAGCACCCCTGGGTTAAATCCCCAGACCAAAAAAAAAAAAGAAAGAAAGAAAAAAGCATAACAAAAAAAAAAACAACAACTAAGTTTGGTTATTTTACTTTTTTAAAATCAAGTGGCAATTGGAGCTGGGGTTGTGGCTCAGCGGTAGAGCACTCGCCTCTCACATGTGAGACCCTGGGTTTGATCCTCAGCACCACATAAAAATAAATAAACAAAATAAAGATATTGTGCCCATGTATAACTAAAAATTTTTTTAAATAGAAATATAAATTTATATATGATATTTCAAGAGCTTTGTAATGTTTTGAACAACTAATAATTAAAAAAAAATAAAAAAAAGAAATATAAATTAAAAAAAAATCAAGTGGCAATCAATATTGATTGCTCAGTTAGGGTAGCCATGTGGCAATGAATCCAGGGATGTGGCCCTGCCCCACCCACTGGACACTAGAACACCCTGGGAGGGCTACACACTGTCACCATTGGCCTGAAACTCCTGCTTCAGGGGCAGCAGTGCCTTGTCCAGCAGTTAGGGCAGGACTGCCTGAAGTGTGACAGGCACACAGTGGCAGAGACTGGAGGGCACGTGCCCCTGGGAGGGGTCCTGAGTAGACACGTTTTCAACTCATTTGGGTAAATACCAAAGGAATACAAGCGTTGTTGGAAGTGTAAGAAACTATCAAACTGTCACAGTGGCTGTATCTTTTTGTATTCCCGCTAGCCTTGCAAGAGTTCCTATGGAGCACGCCTGTAATCCCAGTGGCTAGGGAGGCTGAGGCAGGAGGATCACCAATTCAAACCCAGCCTCAGCAATTTAGCGAGGCCCTAAGCAACTCAGTGAGACCCTGTCTCGAAATAAAATATTTTAAAAAGGGCTAGGGGGTGCTAGGGTTGTGGCTCAGCAGTAGAGCGCTCGCCTAGTATGTACAAGGCACTGGGTTCAAGCCTCAGCACCACACAAGGATAAATAAATAAAATAAAGGTATTGTGTCCAATTACAACTGAAAAAAATATTTTTTAAAAGGGGGGGAGGAAGCTAGAGATGTCTCGATGTCGCTCAGTGGTTAAGTGCCCCTGGGTTCAATTCCAGTTCCAAAACAAAAAAGAGTTGCTTTCTGAGTGGTGATGGTACTTTGGATTCTGGACATTCTCATAGGTACATAGCTCACCACACATGCTAGGTGAGCGCTCTACCGCTGAGCCCCAGCCCTAGACCTAGCTCTAGTTTTTTAGTTGAAAAATATCTCCTGGCTTAGCACAGTGGTGCACACCTGTAACTCTGGAAGCTGAAGTGGGAGGATCTCAAGTTTTAAATCAACCTTGGAAATTTAGAGAGAACCCATCTAAAAATAAAAAAAAATAAAATGCAGGGGATATAGTTCAGTTGTAGATTGCTCCTGGATTTAGTCCCCAGTACTGATGAAAAAAAAATTTTTTTAACTTAAAAAGGCCTGGGGGACTGGGGTTGTGACTCAGTGATAGAGAACTCACTTAGCATGTGTGAGGCACTGGGTTTGATTCTCAGCACTGCATATAAATTAATTAATTAAATAAAGGTCCAGTGACAACTAAAAAATATTTAAAAGGCGGGGGGCTAGGAAGTAGGTTGGTCTCAGGAGAGCACTTGACTCACATTTGGGATGCCCCGAGTTTAATTCCCACAAATGCAAATAAAACAAAACAAAAAAACTTCCTGACAATCATCTCCAGTGCAGAGATTGTCCTTATTCTTTTGACAGCTGCATAGTACTCCATAGCTAGAACTGATGCAAGGATTATTTTTAGAAACCTCAGAGAAATGTTGTGTCCCACTTGAAGCTGGATGTGGGAAGGAGAGGCTGCCAGGAGGAACTCAGTCACATGAGGGTAACAAGGTTAAAAGAGAGCCACATCTTGTGTGTAGGAGACAGCCTCCCCAGACAGGATTGATCCTTTGGGATTTACAAGGGAAATGGAATCTTCGAAAGAAGACCTTTATTTCTGTTCCTCCTGGAGTCTGAATTCTAATGCATTTAAACTGGCTTCTGATTGCGCTCTTGCTTAAAACCATTCATACACACTCTATTGCCGTTAATAATTCATCATTATTTCCCAGGGCTGTGGCAGAGGCCAGTAATCCCAGTGACTGGGGAGGCAGAGAAAGGTGAGTTCAAGGCCAGCCTCAGCAATTTGCCTATACCCTGTCTTAAATTTTTAAATAAATAAAAAGGACTGGGGAGGCAGCTCAGTGGTAAAACAACCCTAGTTTCAATCCCCAGAACTGAAAAAAAAAATTATGGTTTGTAAATCTGACTAACCTTTTTCCTCCCTTGTGGGTTTTGAATTAACTGCTAACAGTCCCCTGCACAGAGCAGGCTGTGCCACACTCTACTCAGCCCACCCCACACCTGTCCAGCTCCTTACCTATAATTCATCCCTTAAAATGAGGGTAGGTGGAGCCAGGCATGGTGGTGAATGCCTGTAATCCCAGGTACTCAGAAGGCTCAGGCAGCCTCCACAATTTAGCAAGACCCTGTCTCTAAGTTAAAAGGGCTAGAGATGCAGTTCAATGGTAAGTGCCCCTGGGTTCAATCCTAATCACCAAAAACCAAAAAACAAAATGATGCTAGATGTCAACTCTTCCAGGAGCTACACTCACAACTCCAAGTAACTGGGATTTTTGTTTTAATATTTTTTGTTTTAATATTGAGAATTGATGTTTTAATATTAAGGATTGAACCCAGGTGCATTTTAGTACTGGACTACATCCCTAGCCCTTTTGTTGTTGTTATA